GATCAGACAATGTAGAACTACTCAAGGTGGGACTCGTCTTCATTTTGTCTTGTATGTTTCTGCTAAACATTTGAGAAGCTAAGGAGAGTGAAATTAACATTTGTTTTCTGTGTGTAAGGATAAGGCTGTCATCATTCTTTAACATGTGGTAGAAGATATACTTTTAGTTTTAATAACGCCAAGTGTTGTATTTCTGGCCAGAGGACTGCAGGGTGTCTGCAGGTCTTGAAAAGCCGTTTAAAAAAAATGTGTTTCCTTAGTTAGATTCATTTCAGTTTAATTGACATAGCCCTTGAATCTGTCCTCTTGTCTGCCATAGACAGTAACATCAATTACAGTTTATTTTGTATCTGGTTTAGGGCTGTCATGAGATGTTGTACACATACAAACAAAGTGGGAGTGTTGTGACAGCAGATTGTACTGCAGGATGCTGTTCACTGGGGACAGTGTCTGCGGAACTGACTCCAGACCTACTGTACTGCACTATTTTTTTTATGTATGGTAATGAAGGAACATTTACCCAGTATAGCAGGATGATTTATGTGTTTCGGTCTACAATGAAGCTCTATGGTACAGACAGATAATATACTGTATGTATATACTTCAATCTCAAGCATGTTCCTTATATTCACTTAATGAAGCTATCGATTTGTGTTTTGGGCTAAATATGTTGTTTATTGCAGGAGTTGGAGGCTTTGAGGAGCCAGGTTCAGTCCCAGTCGACAGACATTGACCAGCTGAAGGCAGAGAGACAAGACCTGCTCAGAAGAGCCGAAGCAGGGGTAAATGCCATGAAAATATTACAGTTTGTCCCCCAAATATCCAGTTATTCTTAACAGATGGTAAATAAACAAGCCTCTGTCTGGTTTCTCTCAGTCCTCAGACACAGTCTCCAGCAGCGACAGCTCTGTAGATGCCACCAAGATGACTGAACTAGAGAGTAGACTCACAGCACAGACGGCTGAAACAGAGAGACTCAAGGTGTGTGAACCTTGGGTATAACTGTGGTCTGTATGACTGTGCTCTGTGAGGCACTACATGACCTCACCGTCAGTATTCATATGCCAGTTGGCTCTCTCCTCTTAGAAATCATTTTTTTTATCAAACAGTAAGAGGAAAACCTTCTTTATCCCTCTGTTCATCCTCTCCTCTTGTCTCTCTGTCTCCCTCTTCTTCATTGGTTCAGGAGGAGACAAAGAGCTTGTCAGAGAGCCGGGAAGTCCTGGAGCAGCAGCTGGCTTCAGCCACTAGCACAGTGGCCATCCTGCAGACAGAGAAAGAAAACCTGCAAACAGAGGTTCAAGAATCCAAGAAGGAGCAGGATGACCTGCTGATGCTGCTGGCAGACCAGGACCAAAAGATCTACAACCTCAAACAGAAACTCAAAGGCCTCGGACAGACGGTAGACAGACTTTACCTCTGTTCTAACTGGCAGCCACAGAATCTACCTGCTTTTAACTGAAGCATTTTTCTAAATTCATCATCAGGACAAATTCTAGTTGTCGTTGCTGAGTGAGACTAAAATTAAATAAGATATAAAAACAAACAAAACAAAATAAATTTTGTTTTTATGAGCAAATCAAACAGTGCCAACATCTATAGCCTCAGATTGACAAAACTTAAATCTACTATTACTACAGTGAAAATGAGACAGTTTCACCATTGATAACTAGACCAGAATGTTTGTGTACCTACAACATGGTGAGAAAGAAGAAATAGTCCAGCACATGACCCACTGTAAAATGAGAAGTGGTTGTTTTAGGAAGGATTAAACAAATATAGCATGTTAATTAGTGAGTTTTACAGCTGCTGGCAGATGGACTTTTATTGCCCAGCAGGACATTGTCTCTGTGATGCTGTGACCTGTACACACATTCTTTGAGCATATTGGTCACAGGTTCCCCACATGAAGTAGATGATCTGATTTTAATTTTGGAGCACCTTGCTGCATAAACATTCTTACTACTGAGGGAACACTGATCTCCCCGAAATGTTGTCACTCCTTAACACTTTAACATGACAGGTTCAGATTGATTCCAAGTAGGTAGCATGCAAAGACATATGTTAGTATAGAAAATCATTTCTTATGAATTAGCCAACTGGCTAATTAGGAGGACACAGATTTTTCTTGTGAACACAACTTCCTGAGTGATACATAGCAGAAAGTTTAGGTGTCTCATAAAACTGACATGTGTCGGAGTGGTGTTGTCTCTATACAGAAAGCATTTCAGCTGCTTTTTCAGCCGTGTGTCTCGTGCACATGTCATACTTTAATAAATCCAGGTGTCTGCACAACCCAAAGCTTATTTTTACACCTCAAGTTTATTCTCCTGCACAGTGATAGTTTCATTAGCCTCTGAGCACTTTGAGGATGCAGGTAACCTGTTCTCAGCGCTACAGATGTGTGTCAAGCCGTATAAAAGTACCTGCCTGGACTAGTAATTAGCGTTTTCATTTGACAAGACACCAGTTACCTACTTAAAAAATTGTAAAGAAAGGCATGCTCACAAACACTCAGCTGTGTTTTGTCTGTTTGCTTTAGTTAGATTTTGCTTCCACTTTGCTTACAGGTGGAAGATGATGATGACCTGGATACCAGGGACCAAACAGATGACGAGGGGGAGGAGGAGGATGAAGATGAGGACTAGAAAATACACTGAAAGAAGGAAAAGGACATGGGAATAGAAAACCTGAGAAACTGAAGAATACGACTGATATATAGATGCAGTTTCTCTGTCCAGTTGCCATGCTGTCTTCATTTTTCTTTACCCCTCTGTCACATCACATGTACATGTTAATTATTTGGACAGTTTTGTTCAAGATAAAGTTCTTCTGTCCAAGGTTTCAGTTTTCAGTGATGCCTAATATATTAGTGTATTTTCTAGTAAATGGTCTTATACTTGTATAGCGCCTTTCTATGCTTTACAGCACACTCAAAGCGCTTTCACATTATTCGGCCATTCACCCATTCGTACTCCCAAGCACTCACGCATTCACACACCGGTGACATCACCGGGAGCAACTGGGGGTTCAGTGTCTTGCTCAAGGACACCTCGACATGTTGACTGGACAAGCGGGGAATCGAACCGCTAATCCTTAGGGTTAGGAAATGACCCACTCTACCTCCTGAGCCACAGCCGCCCCCTAAATGCTAGGTTAATTTTAACACTCAAATCACCACATTTTTACTTGTACCATGTTTCTGAGACATTTAAAATGTAGCAAAGTACAACTATGAGCAGATCTGATATTGTTCTCATTTTATCATAAACATGCTGTTTCCAGTGTTTTCCCATGTCACTGCACCCTGAATTTAACTGCCTTCACAGCCAAGTCAGTTTGAGTTCAGCGTTACCATATCATCTACCTAGTATCCCAGTGTTGTTCCATTTCACACTGATGACACAACCTAACTGCTCTATGATATGCTGCAAGACACTGATAGAAAAGATGTAAAGACAAAAAAGATATTTTTGCAACCTTTGGTCCAGTACTGGCACCTAGCTTCTGTATGATATTGTAACTTATCAATTTATGAGCCACATTGAAATGACTAAAGAATCTATCAGTCTGTATGAGTGAATAATTGTAGATAAATTACGTTTTACTAAATCCACAGAGTTTTGTATTGCTTTTAGGAATTATTTAAGTCTGAATATACAGTAGTGCTGTATATTAAGTGTTGAATACATAGGCATTAATTCAAATACAATACCTGTGTTTCTAGTGCTGTTACGCCTGGGCTACTTCAGACTTGCCAAACACAATGTGGTGTGACCTCTGTTAGCCATGAACTTCCTTCTAAGATACATCATTCAAAATCCTTAAATTTGTTTTCAGAACTTTTCCAACCATCTACTTTCTTTTTTTAAAAGATGTCAAATACACTAGGCCACACAGAGCATCATATATACTGTGACTGCTGCATTAAACATAAAAACCTGAGTATGTTCACTTCAGAATCAGCTTTATTGTCCAGGTATGTTGAGTTTGTCTCCAGTGCAGTGGCTCTCGATGTGCAACATGCTTCCATAAGACAATGAGGAAATGAGAACAAGAAAAAGAATGTGCATTTAGGAAGAATTCAAGTTATTGCACTGAGGGTTGTTCTGTTATATAGTCATGGGTTAAGTGTTGATCAAAGTGACGGCCCAGGGAAAGAAACTGTGTCTGATTGTTTTGTTCCTATTTGAAGCTGCTGACTAAGGATAAGCGTAAATACAGTAAGGTTGTTATTCACATCGGCACTAATGACTCCAGACTTCGCCAGTCGGAGGTCACTAAAATTAATGTTGAGTCGGTGTGTAACTTCGCTAAAACAATGTCGGGCTCCGTAGTTTTCTCTGGACCCCTGCCCAATGTGACCAGTGATGACATGTTTAGCCGCATGTCGTCATTCAACCGCTGGCTGTCTAGGTGGTGCCCAGAAAATAATGTGGGCTTCATAGACAACTGGAAAACATTTTGGGGAAAACCTGGTCTGATTAGCAGAGACGGCATCCATCCCACTTTGGGTGGTGCGGCTCTCTTATCTAGAAATCTGGACGAGTTTGTTTTACAACCTAAATTATGACAACCCAGAGTTGAGTCCAGGATGCAGGGTCGCAGTCTTACACGCCTCTCTGCTGTCTCCTTGCAGCTGCTACCCACCCAACGCTCCCAGTACCCCATAGAGACTGTGTCTGCCCCCCGCCCACCTAAATTATATAAATCAAGAATCAACTCCAGAGGAGTTATTCATAAGAACCTAATTAAAATTAAGATGACTCCTCTTATAGTAGAAAGTAATAGGACAATCAAATGTGGACTATTAAATATCAGATCTCTCTCATCTAAATCTCTGTTAGTGAATGATTTGATAAGTGAACATCACATTGACTTATTGTGTCTTACTGAAACATGGTTACAGCAGGAAGAATATGCCAGCCTAAATGAATCCACTCCACCTAGGCACAGTAACTGTCACATCCCTCAAAACACAGGCCGAGGTGGTGGCGTGGCAGCGATCTTTGACTCAAGCCTATTAATCAACCCTAGACCTAAACATAGTTATAACTCATTTGAAAATCTCACCCTGAGTCTCTCACACCCAAACTGGAAAACTCAAAAGCCTGTTCTGTTTGTTATTGTATACCGTCCACCTGCTCCTTATTCAGAGTTTTTAAGTGAATTCTCAGACTTTCTGTCTGATTTAGTGCTTAGTACAGATAAAATAATCATAGTAGGCGACTTTAATATTCATGTAGATGCCGACAATGACAGCCCCAACAATGCATTTTGTTCATTATTAGACTCAGTTGGTGTCTCTCAAACTGTAAATAAACCTTTTAAACTTGCAGTAATTAAACCTCTACTCAAAACGCCTACTCTTGACCCAGGTGTCCTAGCTAATTATAGACCAATATCCAATCTCCCATTTATTTCCAAAATCCTTGAAAAAGCTGTTGCAAAGCAGTTATGTGACCACTTGCACAAGAATGATTTGTTTGAGGATTTTCAGTCAGGATTTAGAGTCCATCATAGTACAGAAACCGCATTGGTGAAAGTCACCAATGATCTGCTCCTAGCCTCGGACAAAGGACTTGTCTCCATACTTGTCCTCTTAGATCTCAGTGCTGCTTTTGACACCACTGATCACAGCATCTTACTGCAGAGACTTGAACATGTTATTGGGATTAAAGGAACTGCACGAAGTTGGTTCAAATCTTATTTATCAGAAAGATTTCAATTTGTTCATGTCAATGACAAATGTTCCACACAAACTGACGTTAGTCACAGCGTTCCACAGGGCTCTGTGTTAGGCCCAATTCTCTTCACTTTATACATGATCCCTTTAGGCAATATTATCAGGAAGCACAACATAAATTTCCATTGCTATGCAGATGATACTCAGTTATATTTATCTATGAAGCCAAATGAATCAGGTCAGCTGGTCAAACTTCAAGCATGTCTTAAAGACATAAAGGCCTGGATGACCTGCAACTTCTTACTTCTAAACTCTGACAAAACTGAAGTCATTGTGCTTGGGCCT